AGGGAACAACAATGATAATACCAACACAGGAATGTACAAGAACAAGTGATGCCCAATACAGCAATTGCTCACCACCCCGTGATCGACAGCCAGTTCCCGAGCAGCGATTTCCGCCCCCTGGCCAACTCCAGTTTATGTACTGGGCATGACGTCGTATGGTAGGGAATATCTCTTTGGCTAGTCTGGGTCAGCTGTCCCGGCCGTGCCCCCTCCCAGCTTCTTGTGCACCTCCTCACTGGCAGAGCATGAGAATCTGAAAAGTCCTTGACTGAGTATAAGCACTACAACTACTTAGCCACAACTAAAACTTCAGTGTGTTATCAACATCATTCTCATACCAACTCCAAAGCACAGCACTATACCAGCTATCGGGAAGAAAAAACAACTCCATCCCAGCTGAAACCAGGACAATGTGTATATATAGATATATAATGTTATATCTAGAGGTGCATGCGTAAAACAAGGACTTTGACAATTTAATTAAGCTACTCATGATTGTGTGACAAAACAAGGACACAGACTGACATTGCAATCATATATTTAAAATGCAACCTATAGTATAAAGGGAAAATTGGCCCGAAGGGGGGAGGGGCAAATTTTAGAAACTGCTGTCATAAATGTACATACAAGTAAATGACAAGTGAAGAACACTTTAGTTCTCTGGATAGAGGTGCTTTCAGTTTTCAGGAGTGTGCGAGCTGAGTTAGTCTCAGACCTGGGTCGGGCCTTATTCATTTCTCACTGAACTCGGCAAGAGTTCTGCTGCGCACTAAGGTAGATTTTGCACCAAGCCCTATTAAATCAGTTCGAGTCGCTGCATTTACAGAGTGCCATAATGCCCACCTAGGGAATCCCGCGTTGCTCTGTCCCGGGTACAGGCTGGTTTGCTCCAGCTGGTAACCAATACTTACTAGTTGCTGAAAAGCAGGTTGATCTATGTCACTCTGCAATGCGAAGTCACTCAGTACTTTCCAGGGTGGCTGGTAACTCTGCACCTCCACCGGGTTCACCTGTAAACCACTGTCACGTCTCTCCGGACTAGCAGCCACCATCGAAGTTCCTGTCATCCCTTGGATATTCTGTGAACAGCCCAGCAAAATATGTTAATGAGGTTGGTTAGCTTTATTGTATACAAGCACTGAGTCAATAAACTGCTTTCTGTCTTATCTATACAGTTGCTGTCACTTGTGTTTGCTTTGTTAATCTGCTGTGAATGTTTTACTCTATTCTACTCTAGGTCAGTCTATTTCTACCTGCTGCATTTATCACAGTGAAAGTTTACTTTCTTTCCCTTTAATCCTCGTATTTCTCTCAAGGCATGCCCCCCCCCCAAGCTTTCTTAAACGTGAGCACTCTGTATTTTGGCTGCTGATGCACGGCTCGGCACAAGAAACGGTTAATCATAGAAAATTTGCATCCAGGCTGGTTTTGTTCTGTGTGACCTTAACTGGATCATATATCCATTGCATGGCAAACCTGGGGTACATCAATACTATGCTCTTTCAAAAAAAAAAACAAAAAAAACCCACAACAAAACCCCAGCCCTCCCAGTATGCCCTGTGGTGCAGGTACTGTGTACAAAATAACATGAAACCTCAACGAATAGATTGTTCAGGTGAGTTAATAAGTTAATAACGTCATGTTTTATTTCATTCCAACAGGGTAAAATGAAACTCCTTAAATTCCACTTAACTAGGCAGCCTTATGAATTAATTGTCATTCTCAGGTCAGTCAATATACAGAGGGAGAATAACAGACTACTTCAAGTGGACTAACAACAACAGCAAAAAAAAATTTAGCTTAAAATGGAGACGGCCAGTTTGCTATGCTGAATCCAGCACTTTCTGCTTGTTTGCATCACACGTGCATATGCCCACAGACAAGAACTCAATATATTTCTACACAAGAACTATATATATTTTAAATAATCTGTAAACACAATGGTAATTTCATAAACTTTGCATTGCATTTGTCTTTTTCTACAGTAAGTGCACTGACAAACATACACATTGTAGTATATAAAGTGCTAAGAAAATACATCCAATTTCCCTTTTACTCATGGGTTTTACTTCTGGGTTTACTCCTGTGTAAAACCATTGAGAGAGGGCAAAAGCGTCATTTTCCCCTCAAGGAGTCCTTTGCATTTGCAATATAAATATTACACAAGGCTGGGCTTATTACATCCCATAAACTCTGCAGGTCACAATTCATGCTGCAGAGAAGTTAGTCTAACCCTCTGCATATTCTTAGCCCCACAAAAAGACATGTGTTCGCTTGAGTTGCCTATATCAGCTTCTCACTGTGGTGTGTTTTAATTGCACTGACAGCAGAACAAGGGAATAATAGTTAAGTGGTATCATTTTGTTTGTTTTAAGGGAGGTCCCACAAAATCAAAAACATCAAACCAACCCCAGAGGCTGGCCGGGCATTTCTCCTTGGGAAGCACAGTCAGAGGCTGAAGCCACTTACAATTTTGTCATTGGGTTGCTGTTGCTGAAGCTGCTTCATCATAATGCTCCTTTTTTTGTCCTTGCACCGCTTATTTTGAAACCAAACCCTGATGACCCTCGGGCTGAGGCCAGTCATTTCTACCAGTTGCTCTTTCATGAGGGCGTCGGGTCTGGGGTTTGCAGCGTAGCAGGTCCTCAAGGTGTGAAGCTGTTTTTCATTAAGGACAGTCCGGACTCGGGTGGTCTTCTCGGGATGCTTGTGGATGTGGGGTCGCAGAGCTGGCTGTCTGGCAGAGACAGGTTCTGCTGTAAGAGGAGGGAAAGGGAGGAACAGGATCCCCATGAGTAGAAAGCAGGGAGTCTGCAGAATCTGACTCTAAGCTGGTGAGACAGGGGGAGGCGGGGGGGTGATGAACCCTCTTTCAGAGGCCATTCAAGCAGTTAGATCTATTGGAGCTCCTGCAGCCTCCGCTGCTTTATGCACTAGTGGAGTGACAGGACTGACATTTCTGACTCCACAGATAATTCATTTGCAAAAACAAACCACCACCCCCCGAAACCCTTAATGACAGAGGCTTGAACCTGTATGAGACTTGACAGGGGAGGGCGAGTTCCCTACGGGGTGTGTGCACTAGGAAAGGAGGGGGAGGGGTTTATGTACTTATTTCCTGACAAATCACCAAAACAGATTTTTGTTCCGAGAAGTAATAAAAGAATACTTCTTAAATTAATCATAATTCGGGTATGCTTCTTGTATATTGAATCTAACTCAGTTTAGCCAGAGGCCACAATAACCTGCAACAGCTCCCGACATTTTGATGCTTCCAAATCAAAGCAAAACAAGCCAAATCCGCTGCATCGTAACCATGGAGGAAAATCCCGTGAGAGCCCTGTATCCCAGTGCTCAGGAGAGGGAGGTCTATCTGAGAAAGTGGAGGTGCCGGGTGAATTTATGTCAGCTTTCAGTGAATACTTAAAAAATATGAATGTATTGCCAATTCTTTAAAAGGGGAGCAAACCTAGCAACTCATGGAAAACGCCAAGAAATGCAAAACAACGGGTAACATCATATCAATTAATAAAAGTATTTGTGTGATTGTGCTATTCTTCTGTGTATTGTGTAGCTGTAGCTATCTAGATGTAATATGACCCAGTCAAGGGAAAAATTACTTTTTTTTGATAAAACCCTGGCTAGTTAATATTCAAAAGTGCTCACTTTTGTACAGTTGGGTTCCAACTTCTCTGATTATAACAATAAATCAGCAAAGTCGATGAAGATAATACGAAGGCTTCAATTATTAGCAGTGTTGTACCTGCAGACACAATATGCCTTTCGGAGACATGCACAAACACGCTATAGGGAGCACATACAATCTCTCTAAAATACTGCAATGATCAGCTATGCGATTTTTTTCTCCCTATATATAGATACGTCACCTGAAAGCAGCTCAGAAGCGGGAAACGAGCCCATTTAAATATAGCTGTGTTTGTAAATAACCTTTCAAGTTACAGTTACTTGCACAGCAATAACGCCGGCCAACCTTGTTTTGTCCAGCCTAGTTTGCTTCAAAGAGATGTTCCTCTTCCTAAAGCTAAGCGTCTCTGAGTGTCTGATGTACACATTGAGAACTAAAAGTGTAAGTAAAGTTGTAAGGTGGGAAGACTCTGAAGTTACAATGCTGAGTTTTAAGATTAAATTCTCATCAAATCACATAAAACATTTCAAGAAGGCAGAGTCACTTTAAAAGGCAATTACCGAAGATTAGCTTGTTGACAGTTTTAAGTTACGGCCTAAGTGCTCGCCTGTAGTTATGAAGTCTATCTCTTTTTGGACCTCGCTTCCTCCAGTGCTTAAATCAGCTTTTCCACATGCTCCGGAGACAGAGGGGTCTGTCCTTTGCCGCAGACCTACTCCGTGCATCGGCTCGT